GACAGTACCATGTCTGCAGGCAGCTAGAGTACTTCATTATTAGACGGTACCATGTCTGTAGGCAGCTAGAGTACTTCATTATTGGACGGTACCATGAAAATAAAGACTGATGAGTTGCTCATGGGAATGGTAACATTGAAAAGAATTTTTACACCCAATATACATGGTAATCCAACTGACTGTAAGGGGTAACCTTATCGACCTCAAGGTATTCAAAACTAAATGTCTAAAGTTAGAAGCTCCTTACCTTAAGCTAGATTTAGTTGTTTAAACGGTTTGATAGCTTAATTCTTTCTTTAAAGTCAACTTGACGCACCAAAATTCGTCAACTTGACACTCCAAAACTTGTCAACTTGACGCTCCAAAACTTGTCAACTTGACGCTCCAAAACTTGTCAACTTGACGCTCCAAAACTTGTCAACTTGACAGCCCAAAATTTGTCAACTTGACGCTCCAAAACTTGTCAACTTGACGCTCCAAAATTTGTCAACTTGAAGCTCCAAAACTTGTCAACTTGACACTCCAAAACTTGTCAACTTGACGCTCCAAAACTTGTCAACTTGACGCTCCAAAACTTGTCAACTTGACAGCCCAAAATTTGTCAACTTGACGCTCCAAAACTTGTCAACTTGACGCTCCAAAATTTGTCAACTTGAAGCTCCAAAACTTGTCAACTTGACGCTCCAAAACTTGCACTCATGTTTTAAAAGTCAACTTGACGCTCCAAAACTTGTCAACTTGACACTCCAAAACTTGTCAACTTGACGCTCCAAAACTTGCACTCATGTTTTAAAAGTCAACTTGACGCTCCAAAACTTGCACTCATGTTTTAAAAGTCAACTTGACGCTCCAAAACTTGTCAACTTGACACTCCAAAACTTGTCAACTTGACGCTCCGAAACTTGCACTCATGTTTTAAAAGTCAACTTGACGCTCCAAAACTTGCACTCATGTTTTAAAAGTCAACTTGACGCTCCAAAACTTGCACTCATTTTTTGTAAGTCAACTTGACGCTACAGCCAGAAGCTTGTTTGTCGTTACTCAGCTAATAACTGTCAACTTTTTGGTCACGTGCTGCTCACACGTGCTCTCTTGAAATGGCAAGCAAAGGTCATGGGTCACCGCCGAACCTCCGGACAACCCAGATATTTGTCTTAGGGCGGTCCTGACCAACACAACTCAAAATGTCAGCCGGACATATACAAGACTTCCGAGCACAATACTGGATTATTATTTCTGGCTCATTTGTAGCTCGGTCATGTATTGGGACCCCAGATAGACATGTATTGGGACCACAGACATGTATTGGGACCCCAGATATGTATTGGGACCCCAGATATGTATTGGGACCCCAGATAGACATGTATTGGGACCCCAGACATGTATTGGGACCCCATACAGACATGTAATGGGACCCCAGATAGACATGTATTGGGACCCCAGATAGACATGTATTGGGACTCCAGACATGTATTGGGACCCCAGATAGACATGTATTGGGACCCCAGACATGTATTGGGACCCCAGACATGTATTGGGACCCCAGATAGACATGTATTGGGACCCCAGACAGACATGTATTGGGACCCCAGAGGGACATGTATTGGGACCCCAGACAGACATGTATTGGGACCCCAGACATGTATTGGGACCCCAGACATGTATTGGGACCCCAGACATGTATTGGGACCCCAAATGGACATGTATTGGGACCCCAGACAGACATGTATTGGGACCACAGACATGTATTGGGACCCCAGATATGTATTGGGACCCCAGATATGTATTGGGACCCCAGATAGACATGTATTGGGACCCCAGACATGTATTGGGACCCCATACAGACATGTAATGGGACCCCAGATAGACATGTATTGGGACCCCAGATAGACATGTATTGGGACTCCAGACATGTATTGGGACCCCAGATAGACATGTATTGGGACCCCAGACATGTATTGGGACCCCAGACATGTATTGGGACCCCAGATAGACATGTATTGGGACCCCAGACAGACATGTATTGGGACCCCAGAGGGACATGTATTGGGACCCCAGACAGACATGTATTGGGACCCCAGACATGTATTGGGACCCCAGACATGTATTGGGACCCCAGACATGTATTGGGACCCCAAATGGACATGTATTGGGACCCCAGACAGACATGTATTGGGACCCCATACAGACATTTATTGGGACCCCATACAGACATGTAATGGGACCCCAGACAGACATGTATTGGGACCCCATACAGACATGTATTGGGACCCCATACAGACATGTAATGGGACCCCCAGTTGGAGCCCTGTTCGGTGAGTACCCGACGTGCAAACCAAACGTAGAGAAATGATGAACTAAAGCATTCAAAACATTCTTGGTGTTGATGCTAGGTAAGGGGATGGCTTCAGGGATCTTGTTGTTGCACACGGTGAGCAGGTACTGGTGTTTACGTCTTGTAGGAGGAGGAGTCTAACATCTCTAGTGGAGCAAGGTCAAATCTCTAGTGGAGCAAGGTCAAATCTCTAGTGGAGCAAGGTCAAATCTCTAGTGGAGCAAGGTCAAATCTCTAGTGGAGCAAGGTCAAATCTCTAGTGGAGCAAGGTCAAATCTCAAGTGGAGCAAGGTCAAATCTCTAGTGGAGCAAGGTCAAATCTCTAGTGGAGCAAGGTCAAATCTCTAGTGGAGCAAGGTCAAATCTCAAGTGGAGCAAGGTCAAATCTCTAGTGGAGCAAGGTCAAATCTCAAGTGGAGCAAGGTCAAATCTCTAGTGGAGCAAGGTCAAATCTCTAGTGGAGCAAGGTCAAATCTCTAGTGGAGCAAGGTCAAATCTCTAGTGGAGCAAGGTCAAATCTCTAGTGGAGCAAGGTCAAATCTCTAGTGGAGCAAGGTCAAATCTCTAGTGGAGCAAGGTCAAATCTCTAGTGGAGCAAGGTCAAATCTCTAGTGGAGCAAGGTCAAATCTCTAGTGGAGCAAGGTCAAATCTCTAGTGGAGCAAGGTCAAATCTCTAGTGGAGCAAGGTCAAATCTCTAGTGGAGCAAGGTCAAATCTCTAGTGGAGCAAGGTCAAATCTCTAGTGGAGCAAGGTCAAATGACTCTAACTTACTCTAAGACAGCTGACATTAGTTGTACGGGAGCTACTGGAGGATACAAGCTTGTATTTAGTTCTTAATGATTGTTTGTTTGTTTGTTTGTTTGTGGGTTTGTTTGTTTGTTTGTTTGTTTGTTTGTTTGTTTGTTTGTTTGTTTGTTTGTTTGTGGGTTTGTGGCAAATCTCCTAACTCAATTTTGACCCACTTCTAATGCAGCGATTTTTTTCCAGATTCGCTCCACTTCGATGACAATGTAAGTCCATGTTTATTTTAATTTAAATATATGTTTATATAGTCATTACAAATTAGTTATATGGTTTTGAAATTAAGGGGAGATAACAAAATTAAATCACTCAATAATATACTATATTCAACAACAGAAGGGGAGATTATCAGCTAGGCGTGATAATCCTAAAACCAGTCTGGTGAGCTGTGGTTCACGAGAATGTTTACAATCGTAGAGCTGGTCGATCTTGTGAAGGCTATTAGGGGCAGATAATAATTTTTTGAAATGATTTGAGACTAAAGGGTGGTAAAAAAAAATAATGAAGAACTCGCTGTCGTCTGTAAACTGTGGTCACGGACGGCTGGTTTCATGGGACAGATAATCGTCTTTTAGACATTGCGATCTGCTAATGGTGTTTTAAGTAAATATTTTTAGTCGTGTCGACTTCATAAATTTAAAAATCACTAAAAATTAGAAAATAAAACAAATATAATAAAATACTTAAAAAAAACTTTTTAAAAAACCACGTTTTTCTTGTGGACTAAAAAGTAGAAAATAATTTTTTCTTTTGTGCTTCCTCGAGCTGTGCAGGTTCTTGTGATGACTGACAAAAAACGTGGGTACGTTCACCATCAAATTTCCCGACCCATCTGCCCGACCCACGTTTTTTGTCAGTCATCACAAGAACCTGCACAGCTCGAGGAAGCACAAAAGAAAAAATTATTTTCTACTTTTTAGTCCACAAGAAAAACGTGGTTTTTTAAAAAGTTTTTTTTAAGTATTTTATTTTCTCCTTTTAAGTCCGTTGCTACACATGAAAAACGTGGTTTTTAAAAAAGTTTTTTATATAGTTTATTTTCTACTTTATCTAATGACTTGATTAAGTATGAATTGACTAAGTGTTTATAAATACACGGACTAAAAATATTGAGCGACCAGGATTCGAACCTGGGTTGTCGCGGCCACAACGCGATGTACTAACCACTATACGATCACGGCCAGCGCGCTCACATCAATTGGGGCCGAAGTAACTGTGTCAATAGGCCTCCAGTCTTGTCGGTATCTTTAGAAATCATGTCCTCAATTTTATGGTCCTTGGGGCGTAATTAAATTAAGCTAATTACGGTCTCTAATTGCTAGTTTATATGATTGCATCTGAAATTGTTAGGCAAAAGTAGCATGTATGCCAAATTTCAGATCTCTAGAGCAATCAGAAGTGGGCTAATTTTCGATGTCAATTTTAACAACAAACAAATCCATCCACAAACGCGAAGCTGAGTTAAGAAAAACGTGTTAAAAATACTTTTATAGTGACTAGCTTTTAAATGCACTGAAAATAAGAAAATAAAACTAATTTACTTTCTCTAATAAAAGCTTTTGTCGCTAAAATATGTAAAACATCTCATTTTCGACAAATGTTTTTATTTAAGAAAGTAAATTAGTTTTTATTTTCTTATTTGCAGTGCATTTAAAAGCTTGTCGTCATAAAAGTTTTAATTTTATATTTGTGTTATTTTGACTTCGCTTCGAATTATTGGCCAGTACAAATGTTGGGGCAAACGATAGAAGGTCTTGGCTACACCTAGACGACCAGCGATGGCTGTGTCATGTGCAAGATGCAATACCTCGTGTCGATAAGATTTTGGGACTACCAGTTGAGTGAGCACAGTCCACGGTTCGTTAGCACAAACATCTGGGGCACGGAACATCTGGGGCACGGAACATCTGGGGCACGGAACATCTGGGGCACGGAACATCTGGGGCACGGAACATCTGGGGCACGGAACATCTGGGGCACGGAACATCTGGGGCACGGAACATCTGGGGCACGGAACATCTGGGGCACGGAACATCTGGGGCACGGAACATCTGGGGCACGGAACATCTGGGGCACGGAACATCTGGGGCACGGAACATCTGGGGCACGGAACATCTGGGGCACTGAACATCTGGGGCACGGAACATCTGGGGCACGGAACATCTGGGGCACGGAACATCTGGGGCACTGAACATCTGGGGCACGGAACATCTGGGGCACGGAACATCTGGGGCACGGAACATCTGGGGCACGGAACATCTGGGGCACGGAACATCTGGGGCACGGAACATCTGGGGCACGGAACTTCCGCCACATGACGTCATCCTAGACATAGTAGCAAATTGGTTGATTATTTTTTTCCGTGACGGTTGCTGCGTTGCTTCTGATTGCTCAACAGGGCCGGCGCTACCTATAAGGCGAACTAGGCGGCCTCTTAGGGCGCTGTCCGTAGGGGGCGCCAAAATGGGTTGGAAAAATAAATTGAAAGTTTGAGGGGGGGGGGGGGGGCCGCAAATCGAAAATTTGTCCCCGGGCACCGGGAAAGGTCGCTACGCCTCTGATAATACGGGGGCACGAAAAAAATTGCGGGGGGAGGGGGGGGCCTATGGCGCTAAACAACCTGGTGTTTCTCAAAATACTGGATCCAGCTTCTGCTCTAGGACTTGAGTGCTATAGGACTTGAGTGCTATAGGACTTGAGTGCTCTAGGACGAATGCTATAGGACTTGAGTGCTATAGGACTTGAGTGCTCTAGGACGAATGCTATAGGACTTGAGTGCTATAGGACTTGAGTGCTATAGGACTTGAGTGCTCTAGGACTTGAGTGCTATAGGACTTGAGTGCTCTAGGACGAATGCTATAGGACTTGAGTGCTATAGTACTTGAGTGCTATAGGACTTGAGTGCTCTAGGACTTGAGTGCTATAGGACTTGAGTGCTATAGGACTTGAGTGATCTATGACTTGAGTGCTATAGGACTTGAGTGCTCTAGGACGAATGCTATAGGACTTGAGTGATATAGGACTTGAGTGCTATAGGACTTGAGTGATCTATGACTTGAGTGCTATAGGACTTGAGTGCTATAGGACTTGAGTGCTATAGGATTTGAGTGCTCTAGGACTTGAGTTGTATTATCAAGATTTCTTACCAGTGGCGGAACTAGAAAAAATGGGCAACCATACATATTGGCTCATATATAAATATATATATATATATATATATATATATATATATATATATATATATATATATATATATATATATATATATATATATATATATATATATATATATATAAATATATAAATATATATATATATATATATATATATATATATATATATATATATATATATATATATATATGTATATATATATATATATATATATATATATATATATATATATATATATATATATATATATATAGGTTTTATGACAAATGATCTCAGGGCATATCTCATACAAAATATCCTACAGCTAAATTGTAATAGTATATAATATGATTTTAGTTGATTTAAACTTTTTTTATTGACTGTCAACATGTTTTTGTTTACCTTTTTACGCATAATAATCTATCTTCTATATATATATATATATATATATATATATATATATATATATATATATATATATATATATATATATAAGCACTGTATGTCTGTCTGTGTATCTGTCTGTCTGTCCCATGCTTACATTCCCGGTCAGGTCGGACATTCACGTTAACCTCTCCCCAGCCACCTTAGGTCAAAGACCAGGCGACCATACTACCCCAGCCTGTACACTGGTGGGACACGAATGTATTCCACTACAACCAGGCGACCATACTACGCCAGCCTGTACACTGGTGGGACACGAATGTATTCCACTACAACCAGGCGACCATACTACCCCAGCCTGTACACTGGTGGGACACGAATGTATTCCACTACAACCAGGCGACCATACTACCCCAGCCTGTACACAGCGTAGTGGGACACGAATGTATTCCACTACAACCAGGCGACCATACTACGCCAGCCTGTACACAGCGTGCTTGGACACGAATGTATTCCACTACAACCAGGCGACCATACTACCCCAGCCTGTACACAGCGTGGTGAGACACGAATGTATTCCACTACAACCAGGCGACCATACTACCCCAGCCTGTACACAGCGTGCTGGGACACGAATGTATTCCACTACAACCAGGCGACCATACTACCCCAGCCTGTACACAGCGTAGTGGGACACGAATGTATTCCACTACAACCAGGCGACCATACTACTCCAGCCTGTACACAGCGTGATGGGACACGAATGTATTCCACTACAACCAGGCGACCATACTACCCCAGCCTGTACACTGGTGGGACACGAATGTATTCCACTACAACCAGGCGACCATACTACCCCAGCCTGTACACAGCGTAGTGGGACACGAATGTATTCCACTACAACCAGGCGACCATACTACTCCAGCCTGTACACAGCGTGATGGGACACGAATGTATTCCACTACAACCAGGCGACCATACTACCCCAGCCTGTACACTGGTGGGACACGAATGTATTCCACTACAACCAGGCGACCATACTACCCCAGCCTGTACACAGCGTGCTTGGACACGAATGTATTCCACTACAACCAGGCGACCATACTACGCCAGCCTGTACACAGCGTGGTGAGACACGAATGTATTCCACTACAACCAGGCGACCATACTACCCCAGCCTGTACACTGGTGGGACACGAATGTATTCCACTACAAGCAGGCGACCATACTACTCCAGCCTGTACACAGCGTGATGGGACACGAATGTATTCCACTACAACCAGGCGACCATACTACCCCAGCCTGTACACTGGTGGGACACGAATGTATTCCACTACAACCAGGCGACCATACTACCCCAGCCTGTACACTGGTGGGACACGAATGTATTCCACTACAACCAGGCGACCATACTACCCCAGCCTGTACACAGCGTGCTTGGACACGAATGTATTCCACTACAACCAGGCGACCATACTACGCCAGCCTGTACACAGCGTGGTGAGACACGAATGTATTCCACTACAACCAGGCGACCATACTACCCCAGCCTTACACTGGTGGGACACGAATGTATTCCACTACAAGCAGGCGACCATACTACCCCAGCCTGTACACAGCGTGATGGGACACGAATGTATTCCACTACAACCAGGCGACCATACTACGCCAGCCTGTACACTGGTGGGACACGAATGTATTCCACTACAACCAGGCGACCATACTACGCCAGCCTGTACACTGGTGGGACACGAATGTATTCCACTACAACCAGGCGACCATACTACGCCAGCCTGTACACTGGTGGGACACGAATGTATTCCACTACAACCAGGCGACCATACTACCCCAGCCTGTACACTGGTGGGACACGAATGTATTCCACTACAACCAGGCGACCATACTACCCCAGCCTGTACACAGCGTGATGGGACACGAATGTATTCCACTACAACCAGGCGACCATACTACCCCAGCCTGTACACTGGTGGGACACGAATGTATTCCACTACAACCAGGCGACCATACTACCCCAGCCTGTACACTGGTGGGACACGAATGTATTCCACTACAACCAGGCGACCATACTACCCCAGCCTGTACACTGGTGGGACACGAATGTATTCCACTACAACCAGGCGACCATACTACCCCAGCCTGTACACTGGTGGGACACGAATGTATTCCACTACAACCAGGCGACCATACTACCCCAGCCTGTACACTGGTGGGACACGAATGTATTCCACTACAACCAGGCGACCATACTACCCCAGCCTGTACACTGGTGGGACACGAATGTATTCCACTACAACCAGGCGACCATACTACCCCAGCCTGTACACTGGTGGGACACGAATGTATTCCACTACAACCAGGCGACCATACTACGCCAGCCTGTACACTGGTGGGACACGAATGTATTCCACTACAACCAGGCGACCATACTACGCCAGCCTGTACACTGGTGGGACACGAATGTATTCCACTACAACCAGGCGACCATACTACGCCAGCCTGTACACTGGTGGGACACGAATGTATTCCACTACAACCAGGCGACCATACTACCCCAGCCTGTACACTGGTGGGACACGAATGTATTCCACTACAACCAGGCGACCATACTACCCCAGCCTGTACACAGCGTGATGGGACACGAATGTATTCCACTACAACCAGGCGACCATACTACCCCAGCCTGTACACTGGTGGGACACGAATGTATTCCACTACAACCAGGCGACCATACTACCCCAGCCTGTACACTGGTGGGACACGAATGTATTCCACTACAACCAGGCGACCATACTACCCCAGCCTGTACACTGGTGGGACACGAATGTATTCCACTACAACCAGGCGACCATACTACCCCAGCCTGTACACTGGTGGGACACGAATGTATTCCACTACAACCAGGCGACCATACTACCCCAGCCTGTACACTGGTGGGACACGAATGTATTCCACTACAACCAGGCGACCATACTACCCCAGCCTGTACACAGCGTGCTGGGACACGAATGTATTCCACTACAACCAGGCGACCATACTACCCCAGCCTGTACACAGCGTGCTGGGACACGAATGTATTCCACTACAATCACGGCATGTCCCAATTGCATCTTTATTATCTCCAACACAAATCTCTAACTTCATGCTAATCTTTGAAGATGAAAAGATAAAAATATACATTTATTATTAATGTAGCTGTTACGAATATCACTCGTTGTGGCGACTACATATTAGAATGGTGTCTTGAGTGCTTCTGTGCCACGGTGTAGAAGCAAAATGTCAAAATATTCGAGTGGCAGATTTCAAAATATGTCCTATACATAACGCCAGAAAACCTGCATGCTTGTGTCTAACGTCCAACGATTGTTAAATGTTGATCTTCTCACCTATTCTCATAGGTAAACCCTGGCAGAAACGAATGCAAACGATTTTGTACCTTGAATGAGAGTCCATTATTAAATCGGCAAAGTTTGTTTTTCAAATTAGTTCTTTTGATTACTTGTTGTTTCAAAATGGCCCGTGCACTAGTATGACGAGATGTGATCTAGCCAACAATTGAGCAGCCATCTTGGGGCATTGTTCGCACCGTGCGGGGTACTTTTCCATCAGATTTCTCAAGTTTGTTTTTGTAAAAAAAAAATTCAATTTTTTAAAATAAAAATACATCTTTTTGTCAATTGTTTGGTTTTTTTTTTTCAACTTTTTTCTTAATAATTCTACTTTAAATAAAATTATTGGAATAATTTTTCAGCAAAATGCCTAGAATATCTACATTATCAATATCAATGTTTTGTTTTAAATTGTTGGTTTGCGTATCGTGTGTGCAATCGGTTCCACGACAAATGTACTAAAAACATATACGACAAAATATTTCAAGAAATAGATGATTTCAAGACAAGATTTCCCAGACAAATATCTCCCGACAGGTGATCTCAAAACAAAATACCCCAGGACAAAACATCCCAGGACAGATAATCTCACGGTGTTGGTGCCTGCTCTAGTCGTAATGTCTTGTCTTAGACCTCCTTCAGCCTCTCAGCTATTTATTATTACTGCCTC